ACTGCTACTGCTACTGTCACTATGGCTAGTCCTCCAGTTCTAGCTTTCGATGCCGAGGGCCGTCCAGTGAAGTTCGAAACCTGGCTAGATGACCTGCACCTGTTCCTACAGCTCACTGCCAAGGAAGATATCTCACTGTACGACCACGCCCTAGGCCATGCCACTGCCCCTGACTCGTCTGCTGACAGCACTCTGCGTTCCCAGTGGCAGACTCGTGATGCGCACGCTCGCTTTGCTATTCGCAACTCCCTGCCGCTAGACGAGCGCGAGCACTTCGGCCAGTGCAAGACTGCTAAGGACCTCTACAACACGCTCACCGCTGTAGTTGCCCGCTACTCCTCGCCCGCTTCTGCCACGCTAGGCCGCCTCACTCTCCCCTACCTGTTCCCCGACCTAGCCTCCTTTCACACTGTCGCAGACCTCATCACCCACCTTAAGACTAGTGAGACCCGCCTTTCGCGCTGCTATGCCTGCCGAGTTTCTCACTAGCAACCCCCCCCCCCGCTCTGGATCACTCTCTACCACATCGTCACCCGCCTTCCTGACTCTCTGCGCGCAGTCAGGGACCACTTCCTCTCATCGTTCCCCCACTGAGCTCACTGTTGCCCTCCTCGAGAAGGAACTGCTTGCAGCTGAGGCGAGCATCGTCGCTGTAGGCACCTCTCGTGGCGACCCCCGCACCCCGTTCTTTGAGGGGTGTTCCCCTTCCCCCCTCCTCCCCTCTGTCGCCTCTGCTGCTGCTGTCGACCTTCTTGGTGCTGAGAAGGTCGGGACCGCGTCTGCTTCGAGTGGGCGCCGCAGGAACAAGGGGGGCAGGGGTGGGGGTGGCGGCGGAGGAGGTGGGGGTGGAGGCGGTGGGAGTGGAGGCGCGGCTGGGGAGACTAGTGGCGGCAGTGGGGGAGGAGACAGCAGCGGTGGGAGTGGTGGTGGAGGCGGCAGCGGAGGCGGAGGTGGTCGTGGCGGCGGCAGGGGTGGAGGTGGCCGGGGCGGCGGCGGTGGGGGTGGTGGTCGTGGAGGCACTGGCGGAGGCCCGAGTCAGCAGCCCGCCCCGACGCTTCAGGCCGCCCGTGAGTGGTATGCGCAGCGTAGCTTTACCTGCACGTACGTCATTCGCACAGGTGACCGCAGCGGCCAGCAGTGTGGGAGGCCGCACCCCACGCAGCGCTGCTTCGCGCGCCTTAACGACGCGTGGCGCACTCAGTTTCCTGCTGCCACTGAGCTGCCGCGCTGGGCTGATCTGGAAAGAGGGTGTTGATATTTGGGCTTTAGACTTTGATGCTATTCTCACTGCCATGTATGCGATGTCTATTAGTGGAGAGGGTGCTCAATACTTGCGTGTTCCGCCCGACCCGGGCATTCAGGCCAGTCCGGCTGCCGCTCTAGGTGCTAGTGCGTCTCCTCCCACAGGTCCTGGTGAGGCTGCAGCCCTAGGTGCTAGTGCGTCCGTGCCCCCTGGTACTGAGTCGACTGCAGCACTGCACACCTTCACCCTGGACTCAGGTGCTTCTCGCTCTTTCTTTCGTGACCGCACTGTCCTTGAGCCACTCGCTCGGCCAGTTGCTGTCTCCCTTGCTGACCCCTCTGGGGGTCCGGTCATTGCGACCGCTCCACTGTCCTTCCTTGTCCGGCGGTCCCGTCCGGCACACTGTCAGGTCTCCACCTCCCCTCGTTCTCTACGAACTTGGTGGCAGGTAGTGCGCTCCAGGACGGGGGTGTTCACCAGTTCACCCCTGCCTATGAGCGCGTGACACACTGCACGTGTGCTCGGACGGGTCGCCACCTGGCTACCTTCACTCGGGAGCCGGGGTCGGACCTTTACACACTGACCACTGAGTCCCCTCAGGTAGCTGCGTCCGCGTCTGCGTCTGCGTCAGGTCAGCTGTCCGCCCCCTGCTCGTGTCGCTCTCTGGCGCATGAGACTGTCCTTTGGCACCACCGCCTTGGTCACCCGTCTGTGCAGCGCCTTCGGGCCATGCACAAACGGGACCTTGTTGCTGGTCTTCCCAGGGTGCTCCCTCCCCTCCAGTCCTCGCCTGCTCCTCCCTGTCTTCCCTGTGTCGAGGGGCGGCAGCGCGCCACTCCTCACTCCTCCTCCTTTCCCCCGACGACTGCTCCTTTGCAGACGCTCCACATGGACGTGTGGGGCCCAGCCCGCGTCCGTGGCCAGGGTCAGGAGAGGTACTTCCTGATTGTTGTTGACGACTTCTCGCGCTACACCACGGTCTTCCCCTTGCGCACCAAGGGTGACGTCCCTGATGTCTTGATCCCTTGGATCCGCAGATCTCGTCTCCAGCTCAGTGAGCGTTTCCACTCCGACTTCCCTGTCCTGCGTCTGCACTCTGACAGAGGTGGAGAGTTTTCCTCTGGCCTCTTGGAGGCCTTCTGTCAGCAGGAGGGCATTGAGCAGTCGTTCACGCTTCCGGCCTCCCCACAGCAGAATGGGGTTGCTGAGCGCCGCATTGGCTTGGTCATGGAGGTCGCTCGTACCTCCTTGGTTCATGCGGCTGCCCCCCACTTTCTGTGGCCGTTTGCAGTCCGATACGCTGCGCATCAGCTCAACCTCTGGCCCCGTGTCTCCTTGCCCGAGACTTCTCCGACACTGCGTTGGACGGGAGAGGCTGGCGATGCGTCGCGTTTTCGGGTCTGGGGATCCCGAGCTTTTGTCCGCGACACGTCTGCGGACAAGCTCTCCCGTCGCGCTGTCCCCTGCGTCTTCCTTGGCTTTGTCCCGGACGCCCCTGGTTGGCAGTTCTACCACCCCACCTCGCGGCGTGTCCTGGCCTCTCAGGACGTCACTTTTGACGAGTCCGTCCCCTACTACCGCCTCTTCCCCTACCGCACTGCCCCGCTCCCCCCCCCGCCTCTCTTCCTCGCTCCAGGTGCTGAGGTACCAGACCCCCTCCCCCCTCAGGGTGCCGCTCCCTCAGGTGTGTCCCAGGTAGACCCGGGTGAGCCTGTCGAGGTAGCTGTTGACTCTCGTCCTGCGTCTAGGGGTGCTGAGTCTGGGGGTGCTGAGTCTGGGGGTGCTGAGCGTGGGGGTGCTGAGCCTGGGGGTGCTGCGTCTGGGGGTGCTGAGCCTGGGAGTGCTGAGTCTGGGGGTGCGGAGCCTGGGGGTGCTGAGCCAGGAGGTGCGGAGCCTGGAGGTGCGGAGCCTGGAGGTGCTGAGCCTGGGGGTGCTGGGTCTGGGGGTGCTGCGTCTGGGGGTGCTGAGCCTGAGCGTGCTACACCTGGAGGAGCCCTCTCCTCCCAGCAGCTGCAGGAGAGGTACCTCGAGTACTGCCGCCTCCGGAGAGGTGCTGCTGGAGCTCGTCCCGGTACTTCCCCTCCTACCCAGGAGCTCCCCCCCATTCAGCAGATCCGCGAGTGGTACACACGGCGCTGCAGTCTTCGGAGTGGTGCTCCTGGTGCTGCGGACCCTGGGGGTGGCGCTGCTGCTGGAGCTGAGGACCCGGGTGGTGGCGCTGCTGCTGGTGCTGAGGACCCGGACGGTGGAGCTGCTGCTGGTACTGAGGACTCGGACGGTGGAGCTGCTGCTGGAGCTGAGGACCCGAGCGGTGGCGCTGCTGCTGCTGCTGAGGACCCGGGCGTTGGAGCTACTACTGGTGCTGCGGACCCGGCCGGTGGAGCTGCTGCTGGTGCTGTGGACCCGGCCGCTGGAGTCTCCTCTGCTTCTGGAGACGCTGCGCGGCCGCGACCGTACTTCGTACCGCTCCTTCAGCAGGTTCTTGGGCAGGCTCCTCCTCCTTGTCCTCCTCCCTCTGTAGAGTGTCCTCCGCCTGTCCAGCCGCAGTCACAGTTACCGCCTACCTCGCCTCTCCCTGCTCCCTCTCCTTACACTGGTCCCACAGGAGGTCTTACAGAGCGTCGTGAGCCTGAGTCTCGTCCTGCGTCGCCTGTTCGTCCTGCTCGCACTGGTAGTCGTGTCCGTCGTGAGCGTCCTCCTCCTGTCCCAGGCACTCACTACATGACTCTGCGTCCCTCTACTGCTCCTCAGCGTGTCCCTCTACCGTCTCCTCCTGCGTCCTCTTTGCCTCACGTTCCGGACCCTGAGTCTGACCGGTACCGTGCTGAGCACCCTACTGTCACGCGTCTCCTCGCTACTATTGTCACTGACCCTACCTTTGAGTCCTCGACTGCGTCTGCTCTGGTCGCTGAGTTGGTTGACTTTGCTGCTGCCTGTCGTCTAGACTACGCTGCTAGCCTTGTTGCTGAGTCTGAGTCTGAGTCTGTCTGTCCTCCGTCCGTCGGGGGTGAGTGTGCTCTTGGCACGGACGTCCTTGAGGACAGACAGGAGGAGTTCCAGTGCTTTGCTGCTGCTTTACCCCACCTCGTGTCCATGCTAGTTGCCCCTGAGGGAGACCCGGATGCACCAGACATCCCGACCCCGCGCACTTACGCTGAGGCGATGGCGGGTCCCTACTCCTCTCAGTGGCAGACAGCCATGGACGCCGAGATGGCTTCCTGGAAGTCCACACGCACCTACGTCGACGAGGTTCCCCCTCCTGGGGCGAACATCGTCAGTGGCATGTGGATTTTCAGGGTGAAGCGGCCGCCGGGTTCTCCGCCTGTCTTCAAGGCGCGTTACGTGGCTCGAGGCTTCAGTCAGCGAGAGGGAGTTGACTTCTTCCAGACCTTCTCCCCCACCCCGAAGATGACTACTCTTCGGGTGCTGCTGCACATAGCCGCTCACCGCGACTACGAGCTTCACTCACTTGACTTCAGCACTGCTTTCTTGCAGGGCAGCCTGCACGAGGAGATCTGGCTGCGCCGCCCACCTGGCTTCACTGGGTCGTTTCCTCCTGGTACCCAGTGGAGGCTTCAGCGGCCGGTCTACGGTCTCCGCCAGGCTCCGCGTGAGTGGCACGACACACTGAGGACTACACTTGCGGCTCTTGGGTTCGCGCCTTCTACAGCTGACCCGTCGCTGTTCCTGCGCACCGACACTTCACTGCCGCCGTTCTACATCCTCGTGTACGTCGACGAATTGGTCTTTGCCACTGCTGACACTGCAGGACTCGCCTACGTGAAGTCGGAGCTGCAGAGGAGACACACGTGTACAGACCTGGGTGAGCTGACAAGCTATCTTGGCTTGCGGATCACCCGGGACAGAGCACGGCGCACCATCACCTTGACTCAGTCACACATGGTGCAGCAGATCCTCCAGCGCTTCCGCTTCACGTACTCCTCGCCTCAGTCCACTCCTCTGCCTACCGGCCACTCGCTCTCAGCTCTGCCTTCGGATGAGTCCGTAGAGCCGAGTGGCCCGTATCCAGAGCTTGTGGGCTGCCTCATGTACCTGATGACCTGCACTCGACCTGACCTTGCATACCCTCTTAGCATCCTTGCGCGCTATGTCGCTCCTGGCCGTCACAGGAAGGAGCACATGGATGCCGCTAAGAGGGTGTTGCGCTACTTGTGCAGTACGTCGGGCATGGGGCTTGTGCTTGGAGGGCGAGACCGAGTTGTTCTCACAGGGCACTCAGACGCTTCTTGGGCAGACGACCAGGCCACTCAGCGGTCGTCTCAGGGTTACACCTTCAGCCTTGGCTCTGGCTCTGTTTCTTGGCGCTCTACACGCTCTTCTTCTGTTCTCGGCTCCAGTTGCGAGGCTGAGATCTACGCTACAGCCATGGCTGCCCAGGAGCTACGCTGGCTGACCTACCTGCTGACCGACCTCGGAGAGCCGCCTCGTTCTCCTCCAGTACTGTACGTCGACAACAAGGCTGCCATTGCCTTGTGTGAGGAGCACAGACTGGAGCACAGAACGAAGCACATCGCCCTGCGGTACTTCCTTGCTCGTGAGCTGCAGCAGCGCGGTCAGCTTTGTATTCGCTACGTGGCCACTGAGGCCAACACTGCTGATGTGTTCACCAAGGCGCTTCAGCCTCGTGACCATCAGCGCTTCTGCACTCTACTGGGCCTTGTGCCTACTGGACCTCACTTACTTACCTCTTGACTTTGCTTGTACTGTGATCACTATATATATCTATACCTGCATGTTTACTCTTGCTAGGTTGTGATCACTGTATCTCTTGCTCTGTTATAAACCTGCATGTGAACTGGTCTTGTGACCACTAGCTTGTGCTCGGAATTTGTGTGGAATCCTTGAGATCCACCCTGAGCTTGCCTTCCTTTGCTTTGACTGGTCTCGTGACCCTGTGGTTGTCTCCCACTGCGCCTATGGGGGTGTGTCAAACATTATATGTTTATATGATTGTAGGCTGTAGTGGGTTACACCTTAGGGGGTACACTAGATTAGGGTTTACTACTTGTATCCAACTTTGTGCTAGTACAGTCATTCTGACAGCCCTCACGCCGCGGGTATGGTGTGTTGCCTATAGAGAGTATTTTGCGTGTGCGTCACGTCGTTCCCAAAACCATTGACCCAGCTCATCCTAGGGCAACATTTATGTTGAATCACTTTAGATGGTAGTTAGTGTTTAGGAAACCATTATGTAATGTATATATGTACATATTCAGGGTTCGCTCTGTTCACCTTCACCAATTAAATAAATGCGTTTTGAGATGCTCTCACTGCACTCATAACTTGAACTATAGTTTATAGGGCCTTCTTGTGGACTTTCTTACAAAATTCCTGGCGGGGTCCACCGAAAGGCGCATCTAACAAAAATGGCGTCTGTATCGTTCTAGACTACATCGAATAATTCTTTGTCACCAAGACCCATTACGACCACTATGAACAGCAATAAAAGATATGTATAACGTAGTTCAACTCACTCCGCCGCATCCGTGAAATTTCACGCTCGACCCATTACACCGCATTGATATTCTCACGCTTCACCCAAGTGACGTGTCGTGTGGTCATTGCATCCGTGGTGCGTGAGTTGTCGCGTGTGTGTGCATTCACGGAATTTTCTCAACTTGGCCTGTGGCTGTTCTCGGCTTCAACACTGTGAATACAGGTCAGCTTTGACTCGCATGCTTTGTATGTGTTCGCCAGCGTCGCAAGTACCGAATTGCACGCGAGAAGGGTTGATGTACTTCAGGTTTTTCCATCGCTTTTTTAAATCTTCCCGAAAACACACCCCAGTGTGTCAGTTTTCGGAATTACGTAAGTAACCCCACTTTCGACATGGATCGGTTGGGGACTTGCGTTTAAAACCACTTCGGTTCTTACGAAGTCTAGACAATACGCTCTGTACAAATCAGGTACAACAACACAAAATCGACCACCCACCAGCAAAGCGCGTAAGTGTGAGAGCGTTGCGTGGCTTGGCAGCAAATCGGTGCTACAGTTCATTTCGAGGCTACACCTTGAAGGTTATGCAACAGTTGCACAGCGTGGCTCTACTTGGGCAGCAAAGTGGTGCCCAGCTGCACAAGGTGGCTTTCTTGTGGTGCCCAATTGCACATCGTGGCCTCACCTGGGCAGCAAACTGGTGCCCAGTTTGACAGCCTGGCACCACCCGGGCAGCAAAGAGGTGCAGCACTGGATGCGTTCACTTTGCCTCGCTGACCTTGGCCAACCACTCACATTAGGAACTGGTTCCAGCGGGGTGTTTTTTGGCCAATAAAACGCTATCGCGCCACCACGTAGCTGTTATCTTCCCACCTTAGTGCTCTTGCCTCATCCACCGTGGCCTGGGAGGCGGCGGTGTGTAGACGAAAATTTTCACTCCGTCCTTCCAGAAACTGCATGCCGACAAACGTCAGCCAACGCGCCTTTGGTGAACGCCAGCGGGGATGAAGACGGAACTATACCGCTCATCGTCATCCTAGGGCTACTCACATCCCCTGAAACCCCCCCCACACACCATCTCCTCCCTCTCTCCCTTCCCCGTTGGCAGACGAAAGGGTTACCTGCTCTATCTTCGTGTCTCAGTTTGGAAATTCAAACTTCGAAATTTCAAACTTTCTCCAAACTTAGCTCGGCAGACTCCTTTTCCCATTCTATCCTAGCGCGACCCGTGCCGAGCCTCCATGCGGTGCGGAGTGGGTCTCTGGTTTGGTAAACACCCCGTCAGCCAATCATGGTGCGATTTCCAACCTTCACGCTTGCTCTTTCATTAGTGTTACATTCGTTCATGGTTTAGCCCGCTTTTTTGTCACCTCGCCCGCATATAGGCAGGCTGGCAACTAGCTGGCTATACGTTTGTCGTCCGTTCTATTTTATTCACACCTAGCTGAAGATGGCACGCGGTCATGCTCGAGATCTCGTCCCTGCATCAATGCGTTCGTTGCAGACTAGGCAGGCTCTGCCTCGGACCAGCAAAACCAATCATAAGTATATTGGGAACAACTCCACTGTCGGTAAGTTCACTTGTGTGTGTGCGTGTGTGTTTCTGTTTTTTGTTTGTTTTTAATTGCTCATATACTATTTGTAAACCTGACGGTTCTCACTTGTCTTAAACTATGTCTAACCCACGTTTCTATAAACCTGATTGTCACAGAAGCCAGTCACGAAGACGAGGCGGACATCCTACCGCCTCGTCGCCATGGTACCGGCCAACGTTCCAAGCACGCGAGGCGGAGCCTCGATGACGTCAATAACGGCTCCGCCGGTGGGACAACCGTGCAGGCTCAGGGAGCAGGTGTGAAGACTAAATCCGACTCCCGTCGCCCGCCGTTGAACGCTTCTGCCGCTGATGGAAATGCCGTGGCGGTCGGTGGTTCCTCCTCTGCCTCGGTTCCCCCGGCTGGTGCTGTGAACGCTGCTTCCCCTGCTGCTGTTGCTACTGCTGCTCCCGGATCTCCCATTTCTGCGGCAGCTGTTGCTGCAGCTCCCGGGTCTCCCCCTGCTGCTGCTTCCGACGGTGGTGCCCCTGGTGGTGGTGATGTTGCCCCCAATGCTGTTGTCTCTGCCAAGAAAGATGCTCCTGAGGAAGGTGCTTGTGCCCTGTTGCTGTTTTGATTTCCTTTTGCTCACCGGTATAACTAGATCGGAGCTATTGCGCCGTGCATGATTTTGTGAGTATAACACTTAAAAAGATCATGTTTTGCTCTTGCCTTTTTCCCACCAACAGGAAACGCCGATCAATCCCCGATGGAGATGATTATGACCCGCGCGAAAGGGCAAGTGTACACAACTGATGCCGCTCGGTTTGACGAGGAGGCGCGCGCCGAACCTGATGTGAATGAGGAGCTGCGCATCAAGGCGGAGAGTCAGAAGGCGATTGCAGGGGTTTATCAGAAGGAGAACGGGCGCCTCGCTGAAGAAATGAAAAGCGCCCTGGTGCTTTTAACGCACCTTGCTAAGAAGGTCCAGCAAGTGGACCAGTCGCAGCTCGACTGGAAGGTACATTTTCATATCAAAGTTTTGGTTTTGGTCAAAGTCAGTGTTGAGTTTTACACCTTCTGACTTTCTAACTACGCTAATTTTCAGAAATACATCAAGGAAGCTTGCGACGATTTCCTGTTCAAGCAGGAGACGCTCAACCTCAACCCCGACTCTGAAACCATGCTCAATGCTTTGATAAGTAAGTACTGCCATCTATTTGTCTGACTACGATTCTGTTAATTACTATTGCTTACTACCCGTTGGTCGTGTGCAGGGAAGGCGGGATACACCCCCGAGTCACCCGAAGGACTGCAAGTGGCTGCGATTGCCAAGTCCCAGGGCAAGCTCAAGGATGCGAGCGAGCGGTTCAACGACCGTATTGGGAAGATTTACCGCTTCTGTCGCTGTTACGGTTTGAGCCGTGAGCCTTGCATCTTCATGAGGGAAAAGCGCACCCTTAAGGGCGAGCTTACCTTCGCCGAGCTCGAGGACTTCGCGAAGCTGTGCGTGAACTACGTGACTAACAACTCCGACTGTAAGTGTTTAAAGATAGTACATCGTAGTTGTCAGTTTCGCATCTGTTTTAACCACCCTTTCGTACATTTCGCAGTGTTTTTGGGCACCTAGTGGCATGTGTGGGAGGGCACGCCGTTCTCCAGTCCAGGGTTTGTCAAGTGCGCTGCTCTCTGGGACTCCGAATTTGACGGAAGTCTTCCCATCGCCCTGTTTCCTGACCAGCTGCTTGTCATCCTTGCTGCGGTAGGTTACTAACGTTTTTTCAGTTTGTGGTATACACGACTTTTTTCCAACGGTTTGTGCGATGTATATGTATCAGGTGCGGTTCAAGCTTCGTTATCCGCACGACAAAGCCCAGTTCAAGCGGTCCGGGGACCCGGCTGCTTTTTCCAGGCAGGCAAGGGTGGTGCAGCGCTGGATCAATGAGGGTCCTGTTACACGTGACGGGGATTGTGTTGGCATTGGCAGCATCTGCATTGTTGGATGGAAGGAGATCCCCGAAGCTGAGCTGGAAGCAGATGAACTTGGTGATTTGACCCGACAGGACCTCACCTCTAGGGCCTCCTATCGCAGGGTTTATAACGAGAACGAAGTGCAGGCGGAGCTGTACTAGAACGCTTTTTTAGTAATAGTAGTTTTAGTACATGTACCCCTTAATAATATGAAATGTTATTTCTCTTAATTGTGTTTCCTGTGTGTACCAATTTTAAATATAGCTAATTAGAAACCTACCAATTGCACTCGCTTATAAGAACATTGTTAAAATCATGTTCGTTAAAAGAATTGTTTTCCCGTCCAATTTGTTTTTTTGGTCTAGTCAGTTCAAAACCAGTACACGCATTTATTTAGGTTTTATCGTAAGTAAATAGTCAGGGGCATTTTCGTTATACGAACAAATTTTTGGTCACATTGACATAAGGAAACGAAATTGATCAATTTGGGTGTGTTCACCCTTTTTTTGTGCGAGTCAGCGTTTATTGCGAATATTGCTGACGTGACATCGAATCGAAAACAACCTCGTGCCCAATGAAGTCGATCCAAATGTCCGTAACACACTCGTGTAGATTTTCCCTACCATTTCTGGAGGTTCGGCAGCCAGGCATTCGCCCAAGCGAAAACCACTCGGGGGCTAGATGCCACTAGCATAGAAAACCACTCGCCAAAACCAGGCAAATGCCCCGCGTAGAAAACCACTCGCCAGCTAGTTGCTTTCCAAACGATTGCGGGACCCCGAACTTTCCCGATGCGGCAAGCGCTGCGGCGCGTGCTACAAGGTGATTTGCGCCAACGACACGAAGCGCTGCCGCAGCGGCAAGGCGACCGTGACGGTGCGCGTCATTGGCGCGACGAGCACGGACAAGCAGATCTCGCTCTCCCCCGTCTCCTGGTCCAAGATCGTGCAGGGATCCGACCCCGTTAGCGTCACGTACAAGCGCACCAACTGCCATTCCACCCTCGGATCCGCGGTGCGCGTGCGCTCAACTCGACGGCGGGGCACTTCAACATTCGTGGGTCTCGCCGGCCCCGGTACGCTCAAGGCGGTCGAGATCAGCGCGGACGGAAAAGAATGGGAGAAGCTGACGCGCGACGGCAGCAAGGCGATCTGGGGGATCAAGGGCAAGGAGGCGAAGGAGGTTGTGGGCGCAAAGAAGGCGGTGAGCGTTCGGCTGACTGCGGGACACACGCTGGAGAAGATTACTCTCGACAAGGTCATTCCCGCCGACTGGAAGCCGCAGACGCTCTACTCGAGCAAGACCAACTTCAAGAAGCTCATGGCCGAGAGCAAGTAATGGCGAAGGAGAGTGTTGTGATTCTGGGCGGGTAGGTGCTTTTGACAAAAGACTGGCTGAACGTTACTTGGTACTAGCGGGAGGAAGGGGAGTGAATTGGGAGCGGGTTGGGTAAGGGAAGGGGGGAGTGTGTTTGTGAGAGGGGAGTATGGTGGTGCAGAAATGCTTGTATGCATGTTCTTCTGTTATAAGCGATGGTTCTAGTAATAGGTACCCAATATATAGTAGTTATATTTCAAGCTCTAATCATCTTAGCGTAGCCTTCATTCCATCCTAACCACCAACTTCCCAGTCACATGCCCTGCCATGCTCCTCCTCCACGCCTCTCTCGCCTCTTCAAACGCCACACTACTCTCCACCACCATCCTCACCTTGCCCTCCTCCGCAATCCTCCCCAGCACTGCCAGATCAGCCCCCTTGCTCTCCATCATCTCCATCATCACAGGCCACAGCTTCCTGGGGCGACAAGCAAGGCGGCGCCACAGTCCCAGAGCGAGCAGAGAGAGCGGAAGCTCCACATGCACCCACCTCCCTTGGGGACGGAGAACCCTGTCCACCGCAGAGACAGGCAGACTGTTGGGAGAAAAATCAATCACCGCATCGTACAGCTCGGTGATAGGCGGGTCAGAGGATGAAGCAACCTGTGCAGCAGCAGCAGCAGCAGCAGGAGCAGTGAAGCTGGTACCAGGCGCAGGGGATGGGGAAGGCGAATGGAAGAGCTGTTTCCCTGCAGTGGAGTTGTAGTCAAAAACCTCGTCTGCTCCAAGCACGTTCCGTGCAAAGGCGAGGTTGCGAGCGCCGACAGTGGCAGTCACGTGTGCCCCTGCTGCCTTGGCCAGCTGCACTGCCAGATGCCCCACTCCCCCCGATGCATTCGCCACCAGCACCCGCGCCCTGCTCCCACTGCTGCACTCATTGCTGCCATTGCTCATGCTCCTGCTACTCGAGATTGTGCTGTTGCTGCCTTTCTGCTCCGCACTCAGTTTAGCTGCAGGGACAGGGAGCGGCAGGCCAGCACAGTCCCTCACGGCTTGCAGGGCGGTGAGACCGACGACGGGGAGAGCAGCAGCAGTTTCGAAGGTGAGGGAGGAGGGCTTGCGTGCACTGGCGGCAGTTTCCAGTATGGCGTACTGCGCCAGGGCGCCCATTTTCTGACAACAGAGAAATGAGAACATACAAGAGGTATGGGGAAGCAAATGAGAAGGGAACACAAGCAAGAGGTGAGCTGGTTGAGGAGTGCGTAGTGAACCCGAGTGGGGCGAGAGCGCCCATTTTCACGAGAGTGGGGCCAGAGAGGATGGATAACGCACGGAGGGTGTGTGGAAGAGAAGTGGCAGTGAAAACACCAAACACCAGACTTTGGACGAGAGGTTGGTTTGCTTGTCCAGAGCAAAAGAGAGGGATGCGATATAGAGCGGTGGAGGTAGGTGCAGTGCAGTGGATTAGATCGGAAGAACGAAGATCAAAGCAGAATCTGGTGGTTACAGAACATACGAAGAACGGTGCCTTTCCAAAAACGGCATCTCCCACAGTGTACTTTGTAACGCCCGGCCCCACTGCCACCACGTTGCCTGCCAGGTCGTACCCTGCATGAACTTAGAGAAATTTAGGAGAATCAAACAATAATTCCGGATTCGAGTGTGAAGTGAGAAGGGTGAATGACAAGGTGGCGAGAAAAGAAATGCATGCAGGTTTTCGCCAGCAGCGGAAGAACCGCACAGCCAGGTAAGGGGACACAAGTAAGTGAGGACACAAGGCAGTGCATGCACAGCTCTCACCAACGGTGGCAGGGAGCCGCAGCAGCAGGAAGTGCACCTTTCAATCAATCGCCACATTTGAATGTCATTCTTAGATACATTCATCTTCTGCAGCTGCTTGCACGCTTTCTCACCAGCAGTGGCGGGGAAGCGGCGAGGAAGGAAGGGGATGAGTCCCGACTGCACCTTCCAGTCGCCCGGATTGATGCTCGCCGCGCGCACGCGAACCAGCACCTCGCCCTTGCTCGGCGCGGGCACAGGGACGTTCTGATTCAACTGGTGAAGTGAGAAAGAGCGAGGAATGGGGAGAAAACATTAAGGTTTGCTCGCCGCGCGCATGCGAACCAGCACCTCGCCCTTACGTGGCTTGCACGCGCACGGGGACGTTATAGTTTAACTGGTGAAGTGAAGGAGGTGCGGGATGGGAGAAATGCAGCAGCAAGCAGATGATGGGGAGCTTTGAATTAAGGTTTGAATCAAGCTTTGAAAAAAACTTATCACCCGCTCTCTAGCGAGCACCTCGCCCTTGCTCTGCCTGGGCGCGGGGATGCTGTCATTCAACTGGTGAAGCGAGGGAGATGGGGATGGAAGTATTTTGACGTATCACTCGCCCTTGCGCACGCGAACCAGCGCCTCGCCTTTTCACGGCATGGGCACGGGGACGTTCAAGTCGCTCAAGTGGTGAAATGCGGGGCATGCGGGATCATGGAGGACACGCAACAGCAAAGCAGATGATGATAGAGCTTCAACTTCGTCCCGCTACGGGATGAAGTTGACGCCTCACGTAAGTCATTCAAGTGACGGAGCGTCATGCTTCAGATCATGATGCGGGTACATCGATGAGTTTTGAGACGTCTCAAAGTACGTCGACGAACTGACCTAAAGCATCATCGCGACGATGGCAGCAGGATGGAATGCCCGCGAGCTACCAAAGGATGCCTGACGAACGTAAGCATGCGGAAGCTCACGCCTGTCCCACCTCCCTGCCCATCGCGTCGCGCCCTGCCTGTCCCGTCGCGTCGCGCCCGTCCCATCCCATCCCCTTGCGCCCGTCGTCCCTCCCTGCCCCGTCGCGTCGCGCTCGTCCCGTCCTGTCGCGTCGCGCCCGTCTCGTCCTCTGCGCGTCGTGTCGCGCCCAACCCGTCATGTCGTATCGCGCCCTACTCAGGCCTTCTAGTCGCCTAGCAACAATAGCTCCCTCCCCTCCGCAGCAGCTATGGCGGCGCTTAGGGTCCTGTGCTTTGATGCCGAGGGTAGGCCGCTGGAGTTATTTGTCTAGCTCCTCCGTGTGCAGCACCTGCTAGTGAGTCAGTGTCAGGCTGACGACTCCCTCTGGGCGCATGCCTCCGGTGATCTTCTTGCGTTCTCTACTTATGAACCCCTAGGCGTGTCAAACATATATGCTGCTTATTGTGTAGGCTGTAGTGGGGTAGCCCATATGGGGTACAACCCAAATTAGGGTTTCCTACTTGTACCCATCTTCTTGCTAGTTCATTCATTCCTGCTGCTAGATTCTAACATGGTATCAGAGCACTAAGGTCCGTAGGACCGTTTTTTTTCGGGCCCACCTACCGCTGCGGTTACCGCGCTACCCCACGTACCTGCCTGCCTTGCCTTGCCTTGTGACGTGCTGCACTACGCGCGCCGTCCAGCAGCCCTAGCGCTGCCTCCTGCTGCCCTAGGCCAGCGCGCTGCCCCTAGAGGCCCGTAAGGCCCGCGCGCCGCCCCTACACGCCCTTCAGGCCCGCGAACAGCCCCTGCAGACCGTTAGGCCCCTTGCTGCCGCGCGCTGCCCGCACCGAGCCGCGCGCAGCCCGCTGCTGCCGCGCGCTGCCCGCACCGAGCCCGCGCAGCCCGCACCGAGCCGCGCGCAGCCCGCTGCTGCCATGCGCAGCCCGCACCGAGCCCACGCAGCCCGCGCCGAGCCGCGCGCAGCCCGCTGCAGCCGCGCGCAGCCCGCACCGAGCCGCGCGCAGCCCGCTGCTGCCGCACTGGAGGTTCTGGTGCTGCTGGAGGTCCTGGTGCTGGTGGCGCTGGAGCTGGAGGTTCTGGAGCGACTGAGGGTGCTGGCACTGGAGGTTCTGGAGCTGCTGGAGGTGCAGGAGCTGAGGGTGCTGGCACTGGAGGTTCTGGAGCTGTTCGAGGTGCTGACGCTGAGGGTTCGGAGTCTACTGTTGCGCGGTCTCCTTGGAGTGGCCGCCTTCGTCCACGTGTGCCTGTCACCTCACAGCAGCTGCACGACTGGTACGGTCGCCGTCTGCGTCGCGCTTCTGGAGCTGGGGGCTCTGCTGCTGGAGGTACTTCTGCTGACGTCACTGGAGCTGGGAGTGGTGCTGGTCTCGGAGGTACTCGTACTGGGGGTACTGGTGCTACTGGGGCTGGAGGTGCTGAGCCTGCGGGTGCTGCTGCTGGGGACACTGCGGCTGGAGACCCTGGGACTGGGGGTGCCGGTTCTGGGGGTGCTGCTACTGGTGACGCTGAGTCTGGAGGTGCTGGCGCTGGAGGTACCGGTTCTGCGGCTGGAGCTTCTGGAGCTGCTGGAGGTGCTGGAGCGGCTGGAGACGCTGGAGCTACTGGAGGTGCTGGAGCTGCTGGTGCTGGTGCAGCTGCGCCGACACGACTGTTCTTCGCTCCGCCGTCTCCGTCATCTCTGCCGCCGCCTGACTCTGCTCTTCGTCAGGTTATTACTCTCCCGTCGTCTACTGGTCTTCCGTTACAGCCTGGCTCACCGCTGCCTGCTCCCTCTCCTTACACTGAGCAGACAGGTAGTCTTGCTGAGCGTCGTGAGCCTGTGTCGCGTCCTGTCTCGCCTGTTCGTCCTGGTCGTACCGGTCGTCGTGTTCCTCGTCAGCGTCAGCCGGCTGTCCCCGGCACACGCCTTGTAGCCCTGCGTCGGTCCTCTCCTCCGGAGCGTACTCCTCTTCCGTCTCCCCCTGCGTCCTCTTTGCCTGTTGTCGCGGATCCCGAGTCTGACCGGTTTCATGCTGAGCACCCTACTGTCACGCGTCTGCTAGCCACTGTTGTCACTGACCCGTCGTTTGAGTCTGCTGCTGCGTCTGCCCTGGTCGCTGAGCTTGTTGACTTTGCTGCTGCCTGTCGTCTAGACTTCGCTGCCAGTCTTGTTGCTGAGTCTGAGTCTGTCTGTTCTCCGTCCGTCGGGGGTGAGTGTGCTCTTAGCACGGACGTCCTTGAGGACAGGCACGAGGACCTTGAGTGTCTTGCGGCTGCTGCGCCTCATCTCGT